CTTAAATATGTTAGGAGTAATGTTTTAGAAAAATACACCGTGGTAGCATCTAAATTGATTAACAATAGTAACACTTTTATTTTCGGGGATATACCTGTGACATCTTCATTGTTGGAAGAAAACATCTGGCGTACTTCTTTGATTCGGTTTTTGTCTCTCAATCAATGAATCCATAAATACGAGTATTAGCTTCATAAATCAAACAAGGTATTCCGCTCAAAGTTCTTTCCGAAACATGAAACGTGAGGAAGCTGAGCTTTGTCAGTGGCCAATGGTAATAATTACATTTCGCAATTTTATTGAGATTACTTTAAAACATTAAGTCTTAAAATTTCTTAACTGTACTAAGTATATTAAATATTGTTGCGTTTTACGGGTTCGTGGGTTCGAAGTGATTGATGACAACACTTGATGAAGAATTAAAACACAATTTATTCGTCAGTATTACACAAGACAATTCCAAAGACGCGTTGCAATCGTAAAAAAACTACGACAAATACAATCAGCAACACAGCCTGCAGGCTATAACGATAAAGACAGGTTCACGGCAAAGCATTAAAGTACAGCTCCCTACTCGGTCGAACGCTCTCGAGCTAATCTCTGAACTCAAGACATTAGTACTGAACTCAACGTACTCTCTACTTCACATACAGGCAGGGCATATATAGCTTTCGACCTGCCTTCGAGAATATTCTCGGGAAAACCGGTAAGAATTCGTTCTAGATTGTTCTCGCTCCGTCTGTGGCATGTCGCCAAATGGGAGATTTCGCGCCCCAAACTGGCAACTCTGCCTTTCTCTGTTTCTTTTTGGCAACCCTAAGCCCGTTTTCCAGAGAAGTTGTCTTACCGTAGCTTGGCATTGGCATTTCGTAACAGTTAGAAATACTTGGGTCTCTATATTAATCTTCTATAGGTCCCTTTTTTCTAGTCTTTCTTTTTCTCCCCCCCCAAGTATAATCATTTATGAGGAGGGAAATCTTTCTGTTATAATGACGTGTTAAAGAATCTTATAAAACATAAAAAGGAAACTGTGTTAATCTACATTTAACAGAAAACCTTATATTTAAAAGCAACTTTTGTTGATGCAAAATTATACTATTTGCATGACTCCCCCTAAAAAGTATACCAAATATGGAAAGCCGAAATGATAATGCCTTTATGATTATTATGTAATGGAATAATTGATGAGTTGAACGGCAATGAGAAGATTTTTTTATCCACTTTTGTACTTTGTATTTCATCCGCGAAATATAAAGAATGAGTATTTTTCTGTAGAAATACTAAGTTATTTCTTACTTCAAATCTATTCTTTTGCCCTCATGTATATTTTGTTTTACTTAAAAGATCTCAAAGAACATTCCATTACTCACCATTTTCAAGTGACTATCCCGAGGAAATATCCCATTCAATCAACATGTCTTTCTTTCTTCTAATCCTGCTCTCGTAAAAAGAAATTTAAGTCGGAATTCCGCCCATTCTTTGCTATAGAAAACGAATCTCATTGTCTTTCCCTGGAGGGTTTCTTTCCGCTTTGAGATCTTTGTTAGAAAGGTACCCCGAATCAATTAACTACAGAGAAAATCAAACTGAAGTCACTTATATAATGGATAAGAGTTAAATTCCATGATCAGTGTTTCAGACAGAAACTCGTTTTTATATTCGTTTATCGCATTGACATAGGTGAGTGAAAAAAAGGCTAGTTTTTTTAGTGCTGAAAGTATTTTAAGTCATGAATAGGCAATGATTCTTTTATTGAACGCCAATTGCTTCTATGTTAAAATTTCATGAATTTTTTGAAAAATCGAAATTTGCAAATTTTCAAATTCAAGTAATGAAGATAAGCATGCCGAAGTTGCAAATATGTCGTTTTTGGCCTAAATCCAAAGGGATAATTGAACTTCAAACATTAAAAATATGAAAATATAATCGCTCATGTGAAATTCTGATCTATAATCTCTTCGTCAGTGTACTTGAGCTGTGCGTGTAAACTGAATTTAACGGCGTTTCAGTTTCTGAAAGCAAACATGGAAGTCATTTTCTGGATTAATTTTGAACACATATCTCGCATTCTGTGGGATGACACATATATTAAAAATATTCGTCCTCTTAGTATAGTTCTAAATTCGAAAAAGGCAAGAAATCAGAGGAAGTCAAGTCAAGTAAATAAGCAGGATGACACTAATCGGTAATCGCTTTCTATTGCCAGAAAATCTCACAACCGCCCAACCGGGATAGTGATTAGCGACACTGACTGCCGTACCGAAGGGCTCGGTTCGAATCTAGGAGAAGGTATGGATGTTTTTAAACGTATAGTGTCTGTGCGACTCTAAATATACGGCGAGCCGAAATTCCTCTAGAAAGAGCAATGGTAAGCGAAGAGGGGTGGGAGACCCTTGGACCTCTCTCTTTGGGGTGCTCTCCAACAAAACTGGTGACAGAACCCGAACAAAGAAGTACTGTCATCTGTATGTTGCTCTTGTCAACGACAGGCGCAATCTTGCACTCCATGCCATGATGAATTCCGTGGGCTTGTTTTGATGTTTCTGCCAGACAGATAAGTCACAGACAGATACCGTCAGATAAATTATGAGGTAAGTCACAACAACAACAGAAAATCTCAGTCATGGGTATAAGGCATAAATGTATAATTTTCGATACTTTAAAAATAGTTTAGTTTTGTTGACTGATAGCTTTGTTCATTTACTACTAATCACAAACTTGATCATTAATCGTTCGTGGATTCGAATCGGATACGGCGTTTTGCTAATATTAGCGTTCATCATTTTTGTTTCTTGTTATTTTTATCTAGGCACCCAGAAATTTTATGAGTTCATTGCATGATTTCTAAGGATTTTAAGTTTTACTAACGTTTATTTTATTTTAAAACTTTGCTATCCTCTCTTATTTTCCATTTCCGGCCAGAATAAGCGCGATGAGGTTTGTTTATGCAAATGAGCTTGCAAACTGATAAGTATTTAAGATACGGCTTTTAGCCAAGACAGAGAGTTAGACAGAGACTTCTCCCTGTCTTACCACCCGCGTGCGTCTCAGTCAGTTACTGTCTACCTTTAAGGCCAGAATTTAATTCTCGCTGATACTTGAAGACTTATTGTAGTTTCCTTCATTCTGCTCACTACATACGTGGAGTTAAAAGGCCAATCTTCGTGTTACTAGTCTTTGTAAAGTACCTAAGTTTGGTTCTTATTTAGTTAAGTTAGTTTTACTTCTTATTTTCTACGTTTTAGACCATAAGTGCTGATCTTTGTATCCCGAAGTGCGGGAGCGGCTGTAAACTGTGAGAAATAAAGGGTAATTTAACCGTTCCTATCTTTGTCGTATCGCACACGAGCATAGTTTCAGTAATCTCCCAGCTCCATTCAGGATTTGCAGATGTTTCTAAAGGCTATTAGAAGGACAACAGTCTTGTCAGATTTTTCCGAAAATATGTAACTTTAAAAGCGTTTTCCTCGAAGAGATGATTATGCAATTTCCCATTTTCGGATTTTGATAATATATACACATTTATGTTAAAGAATATTTGTGATCTTTATTCTTAATGGGAAAATTTTATTGTCAAGGTTAACTGAAAGTTAATGATGCTTCTCTGATGAAGTCTTTTGTCATAAATTAAAGATCTTATGCTTTGGCGGTTGATAACACGTTGATAATTTTGGCGGTTGAGTACTACCTATTTGCGAATATGTGTGAAATATAAATTAAATAGCGCACTTTCAAGTAGCAGTAATACGGGCTAAATTGTATGGATGATAAATGTACGGTAGCAATTACGTAACGGCTGACAATTTTTGAAAGTCTTTGCTTTTCCCGGCATCAAATAAATTTTAGTGAAAGTTTTCACCTTCCGAAAATCTAAAATAAAATATGAAAATAAATACTTAATATCGATTCTGAAATTTTTTCTTTAAGGGATTTTTTCCCGTAGTCAAATTTATGTCTCTGAGAGAAACAAAAAGCGATAACAAATTGTATAGTCTACGTCATGAACATCCATTCCCTACGCATTCTTTTTTATGAAAAATGATAACAGAGATAACTAACTACCACAGAAAGCTTGTCATCCAAGAAACGACTTGCTATTAGAAACAGGATCATTATAAAATGCAGTATTCCGACGTCAGGTTAACGGAGGAGTTCTCAGCACACAAGGGACTCTTGCGAGATGATATCTTGGCAATATTCCAAAAGGAGATAATGCATTAGCAGCGTCTATTTGAATGAAATGAAACTTGAAAAATGAAGTCTCCTAGTTCTGTTTCTTAACTCGGTAAATGGGTGTCAAAACGAAAAATATATATATATATGTCTGGTAAGAAATATTAAGTTTGATGGATGAAATAATTCTAATAAAACCCGCATTTAAAGCTATAAATTCCCATTATTCAGCCATTTGGATAAGAGTAAACAGAGAGTATAGTTTTGTTATCCTGAATAATAATTCACAAATATTTAGGTTTTAGATTAAAAAAAATTACGTACTCTTTGTTCATAAAATGACGTTTTCGCTTAAAGACGTGACGCTTCTTAGAGCTTTAAATGATCGTAAACAGCTTGCAATTGCGTTTCAGTGAAGAAATTTTCTTTCGAACTCATAAGGATATAAGCTTTAAACTACTGTTCCATAAACGAATTCATAAAGTAATTTATCGCAACAGCATTTTAGACATACGGTATTTGTCCTTGCTTACACTCCGCAGTAAATATCTGCGTCTGTATATACATCCTGTCAAAAAACGTAATTTTGTAGCCACTGGTGGTAGCCATTCATAACCATTTCTCGTAAATATACTTCCAATCAAAGAAATATTTTAAATGAAATAAGTATTCATGTTTTGACATTTTTAAACCGTAAAAGTCAATTTTGTGAAGATGAAGGAATCTTACGTTTTACAGTGAAACCTCGAGATACGAGCACCTCTATATACGAGAAATTCGAGATACGAGGAAAGTATGAACGAAACATTCGTCTCTAAATACGAGCATTGACTCGAGTAATGAACAAGGAGCCAGGCTGCTGGTATGAGTGACGTCATTTCCCGATCTGGCTTGACTAAAGAATCCCCCAGTCAGATCACTCAGTGTTCTTTGACCTACGTTTTTGTACGCTTTGTGATAATTGTTTTTTTACATTTAACTTGAAAATAATTATTTTACGATGTCTCCCATGAAGATTGTTGCCTCAGATAGTGCTGGAAAGAAAAGGAAGGAAGCCATGGTCGTTGAAACTAAGAAAGAAATTATAGATAAACATAAGCGTAGTGTTAGAGTGACGGAATTGGCGAAGATTTACGGCCGTTTGACATCGACGATCTGCACTATTCTGAAGAAGAAAGAAGAAATTGAAACTTGATGTGGCCATAAGAGTTACCGTTACTGCCAAGCACCACCTAAAATTCCTAAAAGATGTTGAGAAGCTGTTGTTGGTGTGGATTAACGAGAAGCCATAAAAGGCAATTCGGTGTCGGAAGCTAGGATAAAGGTAAACTGCGTTTTTATTATTTACCAGTTTATATTATTTACTAATTATTTAGTAATAAACTGCGTTTATATATTTATTGAAATAATTTATTTTTATGTTGGTATTTTTTGGGGTGCGGAACGGATTAACTGGATTTCCATTATTTTCAATAGGGAAGTTTTTTTCTAGATACGAGAAATTCGCTATACGAGCTCAAGGCTGGAACGAATTAAACTCGTATTTCGAGTTTTCACTGTAATCTTAACTATAACTATATGAGGTACGAAGGACTATAGTTCTTCGTAAGTCCTTCGTACCTCATATAGCTGCGAAGGACTATAATCCTTCGCAGCCTATAGTTATATTTAGTAAAAGTATAATTATATTTAGTAAAAGTAAAGTAATATTTAGTATAAGTGAACAGGGTATAGGTTCTTTCTATGAACTTAGCTTTCTGAATGTTAAACTTCGATATTCAAAAGAATGTAACCCATTTTGTGAGTTTCGCACTTTTCTAACAGAAATCCAGCTTGCATAGTATTTTTCAGACAGAGTAAAATAAACCCTTCGAATAATATTCAGATATACTGTTGCATGTCTTGCCACGGGTCGCCAGTCTAGAACATTATTGCCATTGCTTTTCCAATCATCATATTAATGATTCTTACTAGAAATTTAGATCCATCCTGTTACTCAAATTTGCCGTTATTGCCGTTGCTTTTCTAATCACCATATTAATGATTCTTTCTGGAAATTTATTTTCATCCTCTTACTCAAATATCTAGTGTTTACTTGGAATTCCGTTTGTTGCAAGAGCATAAAGTCATGTTCAACTAATTATTTAGTAATAAACACATCGCAAATAACTCCTAAATGTATAGCTTTCTTGATAAAAATGAAACGGCACATAAGAAACATCAAAATAATGAATATGGTAGGAAACATAAGCATAGATTTATGCCATCCCCCTGATGAAGAATTTCTCTATCTGAAGAAAAATTTCAAAGCGCCAACACTTTTCCTTTATCTTCTCCTTCGGTCCTTTGCACTCCTAAAATATATCAATGGATTCATTAGCTGTCATTTTTACATGTTTTCCTAGCCGAAGCTTGCGATGTTGGTTATAGCAAACAGCACTAGCAAAACGACAACATCACGGCACCGTGGGCCCTAGGAAGGCGTTGTTAATCTGAATAGATAGTGCAAGGGGCCTTTGCCTACCTATTCAGTGTAAGTAATATGTGTCCTTCTGCTCTTATACCTAACTTAACGTAGCTTAACTAACCAATATACTGGCTAGGTTAAGTTAACTACCCTACCGACGCGGGTTAAAATCCCGGAGAAGGCTAAGTGTACAGTGTCTAAGTAGCAAGGGTGCATTTATAATACACGACGTAACTCGTCACAAGCATTTTATCGCCAAAACTGCAATTGTCATCCAGATATTAAGAATTGTTTTTTTACAAATCTATTAGAAAGGTCCTCCACGAAGGCTTACCTCTCCTTAGGCAGAGCCCATGTGTGATTTGCCGTATTCAAATAACCTAATACCCTTCTCATAAATGTTCTTAACCGCTAATGGTGAAGACATATTTCACCTTAAAAAACTTTTTACTCACGGAATATTACATTAGGAGGGCAGCACTTGTGACATTATTTTAGAGCACCAGCTCCTTCGCTTGCTCTCAACTATCAACTATTTTCGACGTTTACCGTAAGTGCAATACAAATAAAAGCTAGTCTTCCTTGTATTTTATGTATTTATACATGCCTTTAACAACACTTCAATTATAACACTTTTACCTTATCGTCTGTTGCAATTAGAAAAATCCATTTCCATTTCTTACTGCTTTTACGAATTTTTCGTAAATAATTATTATTTCAGAATAATTCCTTTCTGAATCTATTTGAATTTAAAACTCAATTATTATCTGAAAAAGGAAAATTTAAATTACAAGGATAATAAATCTAATAATTATTTTGAAAGATTAATATTAATAGTTCAGAAATTTATTTGTTTGGGGGAAAGAATACGTAATTAAATTTCTGAAGAATGCTTAAATTGTAAGATTACTGAATCTGCTAATTATTTCGAAAATATAATATTAAAACTAAACTGAAAATTTATGTTAAATTTCACAACCATCTTCAGAAATTTAGTTGTGTAATTTAAAGATAAGGAGCGAGAAACAGAAATCTCATTACTTATTCATAATACTCATTAGAGCTTTAATATACTTGTTTTATGAAAAAATACTGTTCTGAAAGTAATTCATTAATCCTTTGCTAACAAAGAAGTAATTGCATTATCTCAATTCATTATAATTTGTTTTTATCTTCGAAAATTTTACTTTGCGTCTTCAGAGTTTTAAGAATTAATTGAACAGTCTTCAAAATTCCAATAATTTTTAATTTTTCTTCTGCTTTTCTTAAAAACAATGATCTTAAAATCCCTTCTGAAGCTGCACGAATAGATTATAGTAAGCATACTACAGATAAAAAAAAGTTCTTTAATTATACGGTTTAAATCAAATGCACAAAACATTGGACAAACTCTTTTTAATCTATCATAATATCCTTATCGTAGGCTACTTAAATGAGGCTGCATTAGAGATAGGAAAATTTTAAATTAAAATTTACGCTACTTAAATGCCATCATTCATATATATATATATGTATATAACTAGGCTTATCATGACGACTAAGAAATAGACTAGGCCCTCTGTTTCCTAAAATTGTTTTCTTTTTTCCTTTTCTTCCTTTCATTGCTTTATTGTTTTCCAAATTTAAAAATTAAAGTATGTTACAATAATATCACCTTTTGAGATATTTCAAACGTTCCAGAACCAATTTGTATTTCCAATAGTGCCAAACAGGCAAACATTAGCGTTACGTTTTCCTTTTGAACTACTGTCTTTTGCTCTTTTGTTCTTCCAATAGTAAGCTCAAAAGTTTTGTTCTCTGTTAATTATTAATATATATTTAAATTATTACGCTTTATTTTAAGTTTTACTATAAGTAAATAGTATATATTTTACTTTTGCTTTATTAGGCATTGAATTTAATTTATTAAATTTTGTTTGTGAGTATATTTCTGTCATATGAAAGGAGAGTGACTGACTAGAAGAATTTTTGGATGAACTATTCTAATTAAATAAATTGAAATTGCTCATGAGCTAATTTTGGATGAACAAGAACACAGTGGTTTTCCTGGGAAGAGGGATTCAGTTGAATATGATCTATCGCCTTTTGATAACGTTGAATCAGATTTTAATTTTATTTCTTTTCCTATTATATGTATTTTATGTATTTCTGTTGTTTTCGGGATTTCTTCTGGTTTAAGAACACTGAGTTGATGAGGTATTTTTTAAATTTTTTATTTGGAGATTTAGGAATTTTGCGGATTTTAACTTTCATTTCTTTTATGTGTTTGTGGTTTTAGTTCTAAATTTCTTACTATTTTGTCTATAAATGATTAAATTTCAGAAGAATCTCGCATAGAAATTATATTGGGATATTTTTGCTTTTTCTTAAATTGTGATATTATATGTATATATATGTATATTAATTATACAATCACTTCTATTGTTTCGTCGAATTCTGTTCATGTCCCAACTGCTGCTATTTGGGTATCCCAAGATTTTGTTTCCTGTTCGAGGGGTTACATAGTATAGAGGAGTATTATGAGAGCTAAAAACACTTTTTATTTCTTATCGTGTTGGATTAAAACAATACAATTTAATGTCTTTATCTAGTTTATTACATAGCTTTTAGTCTAAAGAATACGGGAAAGCAATAAAGAAAATGCAATCGCTGCTTCTGAATAAAGAAAAAATATTCTCTGCGATAAAGCTATAATATTGCTTTTATTTTAATTTCTGCTTAATTAAATTCCGAGCTCATAATGGCTTAAAATCATATACTTATTAAGAATAAAGGGTTAAATATTTTGGTTTAAAATCCTCACAGTTTTAACATGATATCTAAAACATTGAACAAGTTTTTGAAAACTGCCAAAAGACTTTCATTTGGAAAACTACTTTTTTGGTTTGCCGCCTAGCCGGTATAGCGATTAGTGTCGCTGACTGCCGTGCCGAAGAGCCCAGGTTCAAATCCCGGAGAAGCCCGCGCGGCATGGGGGGCACTCTAAATATGCGGCGAGTCGAAAGTCCTCTCGAGAGAATTTGTGGTAGCGGAAGAGGGGTGGGAGACCGTCGGACCCGTCTTCCTGAGGTGCTTCTCCATCAAAATGAGAGGCGAAACTGATCTAAATCACACTGTCACCTGTAAGGTGCTCAAGGCTGTTGCCAACGACAGGCATATCTTGCGTTCTTTGCCACGTGGAATTTCGTGGGCTTCGGCTGACTATAGATCAGACAAGTTTAAACATCAGTCAATAGTAACAAACAACAACACCTTTTTCGGCCTGTTTGATGGTGTAAATAACAAAGTTTTGCGGTGACTAGTTTGTTCTTCAAACAAGGCTTCTTAGCAGAATTGAGCACTAAATAAAAAATATCTGTACTTCTTTTTTTTTTTTTTAAATATCTGTGGAACATTGTATTGTTAATGCAAACACGTATATGTGAGAAATTTGACGAAAATCGGGCTGATAGAAGGGAATAAAAAAATTCAAAATTAGATCCAAACAAGCAAACTAAACAACAAACAGAAAAACAAAATTAAATAAAACCATATAAAAACAAGCACTAGATAATATAAAGTTCAAAAATTCAAATCACTCTAAAAATAAATTTCCTTTGGGCCAGTTAACAACTTAAAGAGAAACTTTGATTCAACAATGCCTATATTTCTCTTAATAAATTCAGGTAGTTTCCCTAAAATGGCGCAATTTAAATTGGCATAATAGAGACAGTTTGCATCTTTTAAAGACTTCAGCGTGGCAACCATCCAAGTCCCTTTGAAGGTTGTGCTTCAATCTTTTGTCCTCAGAAGAAGAATTCTATCGATGTGCTCTTTTTTTCTGAGTTAAATTCACGGATAGTTAAGTACTTATGAGA